AGATTGAGAGTCAGATGCTTAACCGACTGAGCCACTCAGGCACCCCTATATATAGATTTTAAAGCAAAAAGTCCTAAGATTCGGTCTTAAAAGAGAGTTCTACCTTTATAATGGGGAGGTACAGGGACAACCATGTAATGATAGTACACGTAGGTACTTTAAAGTGCCTGAAGGCGAACATTTGCTGTGGTACTTGTGCAGTTTGAGACTTAGCTTACCTCTCTTTCATGAGGTATTTGCCTCCATAATATAATTTATCCACTATAAAATCAAGCTGTTATTTTCAACTGGTTTTCTTTTTCCAAATGCATAGGTTCTTATGAGTGGAATTTTAGAGAACAATGTCATGTAACCAAAGCAACCTGATGTCATCCTCATCATTGCCCAGCCTTCTAGGGAAATGATTCCCAACCTACTGTGAATTAGGGCTCATTGAAACAACAGATTGGTGGGCGCCATCACAGTGTTTCTGATTCAGGTCTGGATGGGCCTGAGAATTTGTATGCTGCTGGTATGGGGATCATGCCGTGAGGACTACTGCTCCAGGGTTATCTTAGAATTTTCCCTATTGCTTGCCTTCCCTATCCACATTGACACCAAAGCTTGCCCTTCTCTGTCCTCTGTCTTTCCTTCCATTCCCATTCCTTTGACTTGTTTTTCCTCTTGAGGGGAGGGGACATAGAGGAGCCTGCTTGGTTCCATGACAGGATGGTTCGTGTCATCTGTTTTTCTCTGATTCTCTTATTTTCAAATACGTTCTTAACTCTTGGTTTCGTATCTCACAACTTTTATGAAGCTGTAGTAGAGTGAACTTGAGACACTCCTAGGAGAAATGGAGTACCACTGTGGTTTGTCTGGGAGGAGATAGAGTGGTTAGGTGAGAGATACTCTTTTACTCTTAAAAAAATCATTAAGGAGTGAAAAAAAAATGCTGATGTTATAAAGGAAGTTCAGGGGAAACCCAAGAAGTATCACGTGGCTTCAGTGTTTGAATTCCATAGAGGAAGGAAATCTGTCAAGAGCTTATTATTCAGAGATATGAGATAGAGCAAAGAAAGTCAATGTCTCTTGGGTGGAGGGGGCTCAGGTAATAATGACGATGGGTTTTTTTTTAAACATTAACTAGTACTTTACCTTTTATAAAAAGCTCCTTTTTAAGAAAATTTTATTTATTTATTTGACACAGAGAGAGACAGTGAGAGAGGGAACACAAGCAGGGGGGGGTGGGAGAGGGAGAAGCAGGCTTCCTGCTGAGCAGGGAGCCCCCTGGATGCGGGGCCTATCCCAGGGCCCTGAGATCATGACCTGAGCCGAAGGCACACGCTTAACGACTGAGCCACCCAGGCGCCCCTATGAAAAGCTCTTAAATGCACCATACCTTTACGGCTACTCAAAAGGCAGGAAAATTATTATTTCCATTATAAACACAAGAAACTGAGGGTTATCAAATTAAGTGATTTGCTTAAGGCCACACAGCCAATTAAAGGGACCAAAACTGAACCCAAAAAATCAAATTGTAGTATAACTGTCTTTCACTTATGTCCCCACTCTAAGTTTCAGTGTTATAACCATTATGGAATATGTTTTACAGCCAAGGGCTTTCTGGTTCTCTTCCGCGGAGCTTAGCTCCAAAGTCAATACAAAAGACTACTTATTTGTTTCAAACACTTCCTTTCAGTGAATATGTGGATCATTAACACAGAGCTCCACAGAATTTTATTTGGAGTCCACGTCTCAGAATAGATTCTTTGCAGTTGTGGATAGTAAGTACTATTGACATTAAAGTTGGAGCAACTGAAATGCAAATCTAGGTAGCATGCGTAATAGCCATGGTGCAGAGAACCCAAATCTCTTTCCTTGTAGCTCTATCAAGCTACTCTTTCTTAGTAAGATTTTTTTAGATTAGGTTATCGGTAAGAATACCAAAGCCATCCCTACTCTTCCCAGTATCCCTAGTACTTTCTAGAATCTTTTTAGACTAACATTTAGACTTTTTGCTCTGGATTTTTATCACTTCCACTGGGCTCTTGTGAAGTTGGGAGGCCCTGTTTTTTTTATGTTTTCCTAAGAAATTGGAGAGAACTTTGTTTTGAAATGGAGGCTGCAATGAATCCAGGTCCTGAATTACTTCCATATGTTCAGGCTGTCTTGCCTTTTGAAAAATCTAGACCAATTGTTCTTTAACTTCGTTAGGTTATGGACTCCTTCAGCTAGACAAAAGTCTTGATAGACAGACGGCCCTTCCAAACTGCCACTGCCAACTAATTCAGGGTGAATGGGAAGACTTTCACTTCTTTTAAATGAGGTGCTCAAGTGATATCTGTGTATTATTAATTGTTCCCAGATGTGGCCATGTTATACACACCAATACAAAACCTTCATATTTTACTGAGGACCTTCATAGTTTATTAGAGATCTGAAGGCTACACTTTGAGCATTAACTCAGATTTATAAAATGACTTTACTTGTAGCTTTTGTATCTATGATGTCTAAATGTACAAACCCATTGCTGGTTTTCTCATGGGCAAATCTAGTTATTTGGGTTAACCACAGAATTCTTTAGTGAATTCATTGGATGAATGTGTTTATATAGCAAAAAGACAATTTTTCATAGTGCCCTGAAAATTTTGTGTTGCAAATTTAAAGCCTTATTTCAATATGTGATCTCATAGAGTATGTGAATTTTATTTCCACTAGGTCTACTAGAAGAGATGCACAGGGATGGCGGGGGGGGGGGGCAGGGGGGGAGGAGAATAGAAATGTTTATGGATCCACGACCAGCGAAGTGAACTTTGGCTAACAAGACACTTTGGCTAAAAGAGACACTGGTCTCTTTTTCCTCCCTAATCTTTAATTTGATGGTTTATATGACAACTATTCAGAAGAAGAAAGGAAAAACTAAGTGAGAGCACTGTGTAAACCATAAAGTGCCACATAACTAGAAATACTACTACTTGATCAATTTACCAAATAATGATGATACCCATACCACATAGAAAATTGCCCTTGATTGGTCTCAGGTTATCAGTGCATTCACATTTACCCTAAATAAACATAGTGACTTACCACTACCGGATTTTCTTCCTAAATTCAGTAGTGAGTTACTATGTTGATTTGGAGTTGTGAAAACTGTCATTCTTAAGAACAACTGATTCACACAAAGGCACATACACAGATGTACCTAATGTCTTGACTTAAGTTGACTGCAAAGAAGGCAAAGTTCATCGAAAGTCACGTTCTGTTTTAGTTGTTCACCTCTATGTTGGGTATCTTGTCTCAGTGTATGTTATTTTCCTTCCTTTCTATTTACCAACTTAAATTTATCTGCCTTATGTCCTATCCCCTAGATTTCTGCTAGCTGATCTGAGAAACAAGGTTGCTCAGAGGAACTAATCTGTTTTCATGTATTGTAATTCTACTATGTAACCTTCTCTGGCAACTTATTTGTCATTTAACAAGGGTGTTCTGGAACCAGAGGTACACCAGAAGAGGGACTCATGATAGGAATTTCAAATACGGTGATCATCACTGGGGTAGGTATTTTCAGATATGAGAGAATCTATGTGAAATCATATCGTATATATGGTCACTTATATGGAGGAGCATCCGTGAAGTTCTCACTTCTATGTCTGTCCTGTTATTGAGCTGGAAAAGGGCACTAGCTGCGTGATCAGGAGATCTTAGCTCTAGAATCACAGAATCCAGAGATGAAACACCATCTCACCCAACTACTCATCTAATGATCGAGGCCCCTCTACATCATCCCTATGAAATGATCATCCATTCTCTCCTGGAACACCTCTAATTATAGAAACTCAGTCCCTTTGGAGGCTGTCTATCCCATCTTAGAGCAGCTCAGACTGTTAACAAACCTTTTATTTAGTTGAAAGAATCTCCTTTATAGCTTTCAATCATTGGTCCGGTTCTACCTTTTGAAGCCAAACAGAACAAGCTTAACGTCTCTCTCCTCCTAACCATTTAAATAAAGCTAACTGTGCTAATGTTAGCTACCTTTTATAGAGTGCTGATGATGCACCAGGAGTTGTTTTAAGAGTTTCATATATTAATTCACTTAATCTTGAAAACGACACTCTAAGAAAGATGTATTACTGTTATTCCCATTATACAGACAAGGAAACAAGTGTAGAAAGATTAAGTAATTTTCTCAAGGTGACAAAGTTCAGTAGTGGCTAAGTCTGATTTCAAACCTGGGCAATGTAGCTCCAGAGCTCCAGTTTAACTACTACATATGCTGCCCCAGAAGCTCAAATACTTGGATATTATATGATGCTCTGAGTCTTCTTTTTTGCAGGTTGAACAGCCCTCAGACCTTCAACCATGATATGCCATGGTTTTGCATTCCTTCATCATCCTAATTATACTCCTCTATGTCCCAGTCTATTGTCTTTTTAAAAGGTTAGTGCTCAGACCAGACTGTGGTCTCTAGATGTTGAAAATAGAGAAAAAGCAATAGAAAATAGAGTGAGTCTATCACTTCTCCATTTTGGGGACCACAAATTCAGCATAAGCTTGCATCAGCCTTGTTGCAGCCTCTTCAAGCTGATGGTTCATACAGAACTTACTACAGACTGAAAATCTCATCCCTGTTCTGCCTCTATGACTTTGGTCTGTAAAATGAAGTGACTAGAGTATATACTCTCCAAGGACATTTCCAGTTGTAAACACCTAGAATCAAAGACCGTATTACAAAGTTCAATGTATGTAAGGGATATTGTGCCTGCAAATTCCTCGTCAGACTTTTTCCCATTTGGCCCTTCTCCACTGGGTTTCTGTGATTTTGTATTTTGGTGACAGATGCTTCATGCCTACAATGGGGGTATTGTTGGGGCTTCTAGAAGATGGCTGGCAGTGGGGTCTCCTTCAAATCTGGACGATGTCTCCAAACCTGCCCCTGTACTTGCCGTCCTGCCCCTCCCTTCCTACAGCCCCCTCACACCCACTGCCTGCTTCCGGGCCTCCAGAGGGGCCTGCACACTCACCTGTGTGTACGAACATGTGCTTGACGTAGTTCTGTTTGGCGGTGAAAGTCTTGTTGCAGAGAGTGCACTCGTAAGGCTTTTTTTCGCCCTGCCCACTGGCTGTGCTGTGGCCTGCGGATGGGGCCAGGGGCTGTGGCGCTGGCAGCTGTGCAGTAAAGGTCGACAGGCCAGGCTGGGACACTGTCACAAACTGGGTCTGCTGGCCTGCCAGGGGCTGTGGCAGGCTGAAGAGGAAAGGCTTGGGGCCACTGCCCGCGGGCTGGGTAGTGAAGAGGGCCGGCAGGTAGGTGTTGCCGGCTGTGCCAATGACCTGTGTGTTGCTGGTCAAGGTCAGAGGCATCCTCAAGTTGCTGGTGAGGGTTTCTGTCTGGCGTAAGTAGAGCTGGGTACTTGGCAATGGCTGCCCGATGGACGTGTTGACCGAAGGCTGCTGCAGGACGCTCTTGTCAGAGCTGTTGCTGACAGTGATGACCGTGTTGTCCATCTCCACCTCGTTGCTTCTTTCTGGGGAGGAGGCACCTGTCTCTAGCTGGTGCGGCTGTGGGCCACCCTCGGCAGGAGCTTCCGTGGCCTGCTCGGCTTGGGCAGGTTCGGCCTGGCCATCCCGCATTGCCCCGGGCCCGAACTGCTGCTCCACCGAGTCAGGCTCGGTGCCTATGGAGGAACTGACACCCGAGTCGAAGCTTTCGCCCTTGGGCTCACTCTCAGTGCCCTCTGCTTGGTCGGTGTCTTCCGTGCACTCCTCGGATTCGTTGCGCTCCAGGATCTGCACCCTTTGCTGCCCATAGTAGTCATAATCGTCCTCCATCTCCTGCTTAATGTGGATATTGCCCACCAGGGTCTGGATGCGCACGGGCCGGGGCTGCTTGCGGCAGTGTGTGGTCTCGGGGGTGGTGGACAGGTACCGCTCCATCTGCTGAGAGCGCTCGTGGATGCGCGTGATCCAGCTGGGGTCTTCCATGTGGTGGTCACGGGGCAGGCCGAGTGCGGTCTCATGGTGGCTGACCACTGCACCGCTGTAGAAGGAGCGCTCCCCGCTGCCGTTCTGCATGGAGCATGCATAGAGCGCCGAGTAGATCCTGTCCACGCTGTGCTGCGGGTGGCTCTGTAGGTAGCCCGACTCGGTGTCGCTGCTCTGGCCCGATGTGCCTGACTCGGGGGTGCCCCGTGGCGTGTCCTGGCCTGAGTCCTGGATCCCCGGGAACACATCACCCACGTTCTGTGACACGATGCGCGTGCACTCATCGATGACTGTTTTGATCTGTAGGATGCTGGCGGCCGTGAGGATCTGCAGGGCTTCCGACTGCGAGACGCGCAGCACGCCGCTGTACATGAAGTCAATGAGCTTTTGCACCGACTGCACCGACACCACGGATGGGATCTCGATGTCGCTGTAGCCCAGCAGCAGCTTGTCCTGGAAGAAGGGGCTGCCGGCCGCCAGCACGCAGCGGTGTGCGCGCAGCATGCTCCCGTGGATGCGCACCGTCACGTCACAGAAGTGGCCACGGTTGCGCTGCTCGTTGAGGGTCTCGAGCACGGAATTGCTGAAGTTGTGAAGGTTGATGCTGTGAATGCGCTCGGTCATCCCCTTGCAACTGATGTCACCTGCACGGTGGCAAGACAGACACAAGACAGGGTGTGTGGGTCAGAGCTAGCTGACTGCATTCCTAACACCCAGGTCTCAGGTGGGTCACGCTTATGGCTCCTGAAAGCACCCCCACCCCCGACCTTGCAGACACAAGCGGGCTCTGTGGCGAGATGGACATGCTTTGCACAGGGATCAGCTGCGGGTATGATGGCCTATGGGAAGGATGCCTTGGATTTGGCTCCAACAATACCCCTGCTATTTTGGGTACCGAATCCCTATTAATGCCCTAGAGCTTCAGCCAGGGTTGCCAGTTGAAGTAGGACAGCCTAATAAACAGATGGGTCATTTGCCTGCTCTTCCTAAAACTGCAGCACATAAGACCTGAGAAACAAATGGAAGACTGGTTCTCCTGGAATGCTCTATCTCTACTTTAGACAGGTAGAAGCCGAGGTCCTTTGGGAAAGCTTACATTTTCCCCAGTTTTTCAGAGTTCCTGATTTTATTCATAGCAACAATATTCATAGTTAAAAAAATAAACTCCTTTCCTATTTATTACTTTATATGTATATTTCTCAATCCACACCATGTACGCAAAAACCCTTGGAAAATCCAATCCAGACTAAGATATCCCCCAAGCAGCTGCCTCCACGTTTTCCACTTGAGGCACAGGCTCTAGGATGCTGTCTGCTGGCTAAAGGGGTGCTTACACACTCTTGTCATCTCTGACAACCTGTCTGAGGACTTTCTAAAGTGGTCGTATGTGACATGGTTCGTTTTTTGCATTTCCTGAAGCTTAACAAGGAAGGAATGTTCAAAAGGTCGGAGATGGCAGCATTGAACTGGGAGAGTATAATATACCAGGTGATCACATTTAGTGTTCAAACTGGGCACTTCTGAGAGTGAAAGGGAACACTGTTGATAATTAGGTGAGGACAGCAGGAGTAAACCAGGAATGGGCTGTGTGATCCCCCTAGGCAATACTGTGTTCTATGCACTTGCTACAGGGAAGTATCAAACGGCTCCCCGTGGGGAGACAGCCGTCAGCTACGTGGAGGCTGTCCATAGCCTGACCCACTGCCACCCTTATACCCGGGGCTCTGCAGACAAGGGATAACGGTTACATTTGGATCACAGATTGAGAATTGAAATGGGTGGCTAGAACACTAAGGCTTAGGGCTTTCCTATTTTTCTACCTCACTTCTCAAATGGTTCTAAAGAATCCCTCTCTCCGAACCATTCTTCATTTATATTCCCCATTCTTGCCTTCACAACTGAATAATCAGCTTGAGAGAGGCCAAGTAAGTGGGCTTTCACAATCAGGTGGCCCAAGCACTGATTGCTGGCCTGTGACCGGGATCCCCGTGTCTTGTGAGAAGTAACCCCCAGAGGTAATGACCTGCAGATGGGAGGAATGCCCACATCCTCAGGTTCTTTCTCCTCTGCCTTCGGACAGAGGACCAGTTCAGGAAAGTCTAAGCTCCACCAGCTCTACCTCGCTGCACTCAATCTCCTCATGCTGCCTAAGCTCTGTCGGTGTGACCGCATCCTTTTACATACTCATTTATTTCCTTTGTTCCTGTCTTTATATTTAGTAGGCCTCACATATATCCAGTTAACTTAATACATGCCTAGAGGCTCTATATTCACTTTCAGTCATAGGATTTGCACTGATTTTTACATAAGAGACTTCCTTCTTGTCCTGATTTCCAATAGGTCTGTGATGTGCTGAAAATATTGCATCGGGCTCCAGTTTCTACTTTTTTCACTGTTGTAAAAACAAATTGTCATTGCTTTAATTGTCAGATTAAAGAATCATGGTGAATCCTCTCTAACTGTGTTAATACAAAGTACAGTCCCAGAGGAAGGCCCCAATAACCCAGGAAGATGTTCAGGAAATCAGTCAGCAGACCAAATTCTAAGTCCTTGCTGAGTCCCCCATGCACAACAAGAGCAAACATTCCTTTTTTAATGCTTACTATGTATTACCAGATTATTTCATTTAATCATCACAGCAACTCTTATCACGTAGGTATTATTATAATTTTAAAGATTTTACTTATTTATTTGGTACAGAGAGAGAGAGAGCACACAAGCAGGGGGAGTGGCAGAGGGAGAGGGAGAAGCAGGCTCCCCACTAAGCAGGGAGCCCAACCTAGGGCTCGATCCCAGGACCCTGGGATCATGACCTGAGCCCAAGGCAGATGCTTAACCGACTGAGCCACCTAGGTGCCCCACGTAGGTAGTACTATTATCCCCATTTAAAATGAGGAAACTGAGGCCATACAAATTAAGAAACTCTCTCAAGGCCTCATAGGCGATGGGTGGTAGAGCTGGCATTTGAGCTCAGCGGTCTGGCTCTAGAATTTTCACTCTTACCTGCTTCATTGTATTGCATGCTTTGCCCTAAATGAAGTCTGGCCCCCGGGTGTCCATAAATCCACTGTAAAGCTCTGTGAAAAAGTCTGTTCAGTATGTTCTCCAGCTGCTTCTACACCTACCCTTGAATTAGTATGGTGTTCATGTTTCTAGGCCTTGGGATGTCAACATAGTCTCAGTAAATCTAACATAGAGACATCTTTTTTTTTTTTTTTTTTTTTTAAGTTTACAAATGGAACAATGCAAGAGGTAAAACATCATGTCCTGGCACTAAAATGTAGAGTTTTCTAGATACGGTTTTACTATCACTGAATTTTTTTTATTTAAGTAAAACAGTAAGCACTAAAAGTAACTTTTTTCCACACAGGTGAAAACACTCTTTAAACACACATTTGCTCTTAGTACCAGTCACAGCAATATCGCTAGATTTGTCATTTATGATGAAGAGTTGTCTTCCTTATGATAATTCTGGGAAGAAACTCTACAAGTATCCTAATAATATCCATGTAGCATTTCATAGTGTACAAAACTCTTTCACATACAACATCTTAGTCTTTCCTTAAAAGCATCCTATATGTTCTTAGGACAAGTCCTATTATTATTATTTGATGTAAGAAAAGGTTGAGGCTATCAAAGTGTTTAAGTGACTTACCCTAAGTTTTACACAGCTAGTAAGAGACAGGATTGGGATTAGAACCCACACCCCTGGATGCTTTTTTTTTTCCACTCTGTAACACTGGATTGCTGAAGAATGAAACTCAGATTGCCTAAAGATCTAAGACCATCCTAATCCTCAGGACACAGAAGAAAAGATAAAAACACTGAAAGTGATGATGGAGGTTGCTTTAGAGAGGGAAATGGTCAAGCAAAAGGTGTCCTCATACTATGCACACTCGTACACACACGCACACACAATCTCATGAGAAAAATTCAAAGTGCTTGTTTGACTGAACTGGCTGAGTCTATCCAAACAATTATGTAACCCTATAGAGATAATCACAAAAAATTGTGAAACGGTCTGAATTATGATTACTGCAGTAATGTCACCAACTTCATTAAAAACCACCGAGACAAACTCAAACCTGCACACATGTACAACCTGACCCGGCAAGCCTAGTTGGATTTTTATAGACACAATTTTTAAACATCTCCTTGAGTACACTGGTCCCACACTGCAGCGAGCAGCCATGAAAGGCTGAATGGGCTTTGCTGATACGGGTACAGATGCGATGGGGGACCCTGCCTCTCCATTCAGGCGCGCCTGGTTCCTCCCGCACACAATGCTGAAGCAATTCTTTCCCAGGCTTTCTTTTATATTTAACACTAATACAGTGGGAAAAAGTTTCTGCCACAGCAAGGCAATGTCCAGGCTTTTGTGAAGCAGGTCCTTTCATCCAATGGGCATTAATGTATAGATTCCAATGGAATAAATCTGAAATACTCTACTGTAGAAGATTTGTTCCCCATTGAAAACAAATCTTGATTAGATGGTTATTCAGGGACTGTATAGGAAGGAATGGTGTGAAAATGCTAACTCCATTCTTTCCTAGATTGGCACTGAATAGGCATTTGGGCTATTCAAAAAAAAAAAAAGAAAGAAAGAAAGAAAAAAAAGAAAACACCAACCACTCTCTCAACTCCACAAAACCATACAACTTTACAAAGATTATGTATATTTGGGGACGCCACCTCACCCAAAAAATACCCCCACGGTGGTGTGAACATAGAACCGATGGGATAAAATGAAAAGAGTGATAAAAATAGTTCTCCGTGTGTTTAAAAATAATAACCAGCCTCCTTTCCACTAGAGTAAAAATATAGAGTCAGCCTGAGATGGCATTCACTAGAAACATGCAAGGAACCCTACCACCGAGAGTGGTCATGTATTCTGAATGACTGTGTTCTGTGAGCGACCACAATACGGATGGGGCTGCAGCGGGGCGAGGACCGAAGGGAAAATCGGCTCATGGTGAAAGAGGTGATGGGGGGCCTGGCTCCGCCTTATAGGAACCCAGCTCCTGCCTGTCTCTTAAACTGCCGGTGTCCAGGGATAAGGCTTAGCACGAGAATAAAAAACTGCTTGTGTGCAGGGGGAAAATGAACACGAAAGGAAACATCAGGCAATACAATCTCCTTTAATTAGGTGGGAAATCCAGCTCTTCCTTAGCCCGGATATACAAAATGAGACCAGGGCAAGGGTGAGGTGCTACAGAGGGAGATGGGAATCTGAAGTCTCTATGATTTGGGAGGAAACACCAGCTCTCAAATTAAAACCCACATGAATTCCGGTCAAGTCAACACGTCTAAGTCAAATGGCAGGGCCGAAAAGCCCTGGAGCTTTCAATCTGGGCCACCAGGCTCACATGAGGTAAGTGGGTCAGCTCATGAACTAGGGCTGGGGTGGCCAGGCCTCCGCAGCCCCGTCTCTCATATCACACTCTTTCCCACATAGCACGTTGATGCCTTTACTGTGTTGAGGTTGCCCTTTCATATGTTAGGGGATTGGTGATGTTAGGTCCTAAGCTACTGTGTGTTGGCTACGTAGACCAAGCTGGTCACGCTAGGAAAGGCCCATTCCTCTCCTGAAGAAGCAGGGATGCATGTGGCTACTCAGGTCCCTTTCTCCCCAAATCTACATCTG